CAGATACTCATTTGCAAAATTTGTAAAAGTTGAAACAATAAAAGGAGAAGGAAAAAAACGCCCTTTGTGTATTTTTTATCGATATTGAATAATATAGCACATATCATTAAGGATCCTATATGCCTGTAGCACGAGGATCTCCCAACAAAGTGATCGGTAGAAAGGAATTTTTTAAGCATTTTTTTTCAGCTTAATATTCACAATAGTCCATTCTTTTCTCTTCCTCTTAACAGAACTCAGCTCTAAAAGGCAAATTTTATTCCGGCTAAGTCCATCCTGGGAGAATTCCATTGCCTTCGTTGTAATTGGCTGAGAAAGGAGCCAGTGACCTCATTCTGGCCAATAAGCTACGGGGGCAAGCCCACGAGTTGGATTTATGGTAGAGATAGGAGGAAGAGATAACCCTTTTTACTGCCCCTGGAATGTACGTGAGAAGGAAGCACCAGAGCTGGTGCTGGAGCTCTTGCTGCTAATCTGTGGCCATAAGGTTGTTAATCTACACACTAAAAATGAAAGAAAAGTAGGAAGAACTGGGCTATGGTTTTTATTTCCTTTTATTTTTTAATTTTATTTACTAAAGAATGCTGATTGACAAAGTTATTGATAGTTGTGTTTTAGGCATATAATATTCCGGCACCAATCCCACCACCGGTGTCAACTTCCCTCCCCCAGTGTCCAGATAGTCCCTCTCCAACCCAACCCCCATACCATCCCCACCTGCCAATTTGACAGGCACATTACAAAGTTCCAGTGGTTGCAGCTTAGATCTCTTTTTTTCAGTGTTGTTGAGTCTGTGTTTGGGATCTAGGGTTGTACCCCTCACTGATGCCACTGAAATTACTGGCAAGCTATGGGTCATTTTGTCACTTCAATTAATTACTCATCCCTTTACTATACTTCGAGCTTTTGTTATGTGAGAAAAAAAAATCCAATTGTTTAAGTCCCCATTGGTCAGGTTTACAGTTTCTTTCTGGGAAAAGCATCCTACTTAGATAACATTATAATTCAACAATCCCACTTGTTGACGGCATGTATTACTTGCAGTTTGCACTATCCTGATTTGTTTGTTTTGGGCCTGGAACAGTTTTAAGGAGAGAGAAATGTTACATAGCTTAGATAGTAAGACTGGTTGTGTTGGGGTGGGGGAGTTGGGGAAACAAGCACTAATAACATTTAAAGAAAACAGGAACGAACTTGAACTATCTCAGGTCATCAAAGCTGAATCATTCTGTCTCTCCTCCACTCCCTTCTATTGCTCATTGCTGTCGGCAGAGGTGGTTATCAGTGGCAAGTTAAGCTTCGGAAGGAAAAATTGGGAACTCTGGTTTTAATATGCTTCTAGTGGTGAACACAGAAAATCTCCCCACCCCCATGTAAAAGTCAGCCCTCTTTCTTAAAATTGCTTTGATTGTAAGAAGGACAGTCTATTCTGCTATAGTTATACTTTTCTTATATTAAAGCTTTCTATAAATGCTATATTGGATTAAATCCAAATAAATCTAGTTTACCTTGTTCACAATATTTAAAACCTAAATGTCTCCTAAGTGCCTCCTTGGAGTAGCAAGACTGTGACCAGGGTCCCTGATTAAACATTAATTAAGTGAAGAGCTTCCAGTGCCTATGCAAACATTTGACAAAATGAAGAAACTCTCAGTTACTGCCTTAGATGTCATCACTGATTACTACCAGTCCAGTTAGGACTATCTCAGAGGTTATTTTTATAGTTCTTTATTTTAAAAATATTTAAAGCCAAGTATGGGGCATTCATTCCCTTTCTTCCTCTGCCTCACATGTGCAGCTCCTTGGGTTCAATGCCTAGTAACACAAATAAATAAAGTAAAATGAAAAATTTTGTTTCTGCCCTAGTCGAATTTTAGAAAGTTCTCTTCATGTAAAAGGTTGTGCCTGTGTAAATAAAAAATTTTAATGATTGTAATTATAAACTACTAATGCTACGATGACCAACATTTCAATATTAGCAAACCTGCATGCAAACATATGTTATAATTTAACATGACAGTAGATGACAGTGTCACCCATTTAAATTTTTTTTTAATTCCACACACAGAGGACAAAATAAGATTAAAGACACATCTCAATACTTGAATGAGAGGTTCTTGAGCATTGCGGTTATGACTAGTGATGTGTCCCACTCCTGGCCTCTCTCCAGAGGTATGGGTTCATGAGTTGACTATGATGAGGGTATTGGAATACACTGGCTAATCTAAAACTCAAATAATGACTTGTCTCTAAACAAAACAAAACCCAACCAAAAACCCTTGGCAGACAAATTTCTTAAGACACAAGATATGATTTTCCCAAGGTGCCTCACAAGTACACCTCACCTAAGATTCATTTCCTGCATACCTGGACATTCTAGAGAAGGAAATACAGCTCAGAATGTGGCTCAGACCTACTGTTAAAAGTTCACCTGAAGTCATGAGGAGATGACATTTACACCAAGGCCAGACCCTGTTGGTGTCACCGTGGAACTGGATTGAAGTTTCCAGGGGGGAGGGGAAGAGGGGAAGAGGGGGGAAAACAGCTAAATAAGGAGACAAATTATTTTTGAAACAGGGATTAGCATCACACTTTGATACTATTTTCAGATTCTAAAAATGTGATCACATAAGGCAGAGATTGATGGTGAGGATCATGGGGACCAGGCTGGGCCCCTGTCAAGCACAGAAACCCAGGCTGAAGTAATGGCTCCATCCAACAGTGAAATAGTGCGCATCTAGGAGGGGGTTCTGTTTCCTCCAACTCGTCTTCTGTTTGTCCTCCCTTCCTGATGCTGAAATAAATGGACAGAGAGGTCCTGCCTATCTGCATGTCCCTGTGACCTAGACTTCGAGGATCACCCTGTGCTTGATAGTGAGCAAGGGTCATTCTCTGATAATTCCTCTGAACCCTGTGCCATGCAGCCATGGCGCTAGGAGGCAGTTGCAGTGGGTGGGGCAGTGAGACTGACTACATGGAAAAAGCCTGCAGGATTAGGGGAGCTCTGGGGACAGTCAATGTGTAACCCTGCCCTAAAGTATTCAACTCTTCTGTGCCAAGGCAGGCAGGATCTTGAGAGTAGGGGTAGGGAGGTCACTGAGTTAATTCTGTACAAACAAAAGAAAACAAACAACAGTTTCATTCCTCTAACACACACACACACACACACACACCTTAAGACTCCATCCCTTCCCCCCTACTCAGTGAACCCTTTGTGTCCATCCCAAGTTGGAAAATGCATTTCTGTGAGCATTTACCACAAAAAATATGAAAAGACCATGTGCTGGAGGGATCTGGTCCGTGATGAGAAGTTCTTGTGAGCGCCTGCCAGCTCTCCTGAGAACAGAGGTAGCTGTGAGCCAGGCCACCTTTCTGGGGTTTCCTCAGAAACTGCGATTAAACAAGACACTGGCGAGAGTTTGAATCTCATTCTCCTGCCCCTACTGACCCTGGAGGCCCCCAGAGGACTCCTGCGGGACCTGTAGGTGCCACCAGCTACACCCTGAGCATGAGGCATGTCATCCTGCACTAATAGATACCCGGAAAAAAATATGAGAATACCTCCTTTGTCCCATGGTGCTGTGTTCCAGTCTGTGAGAACCCACTAAGACCTCGGCCCTACATTCTGATTCCTCTCAGTTTAGTGGGGTTCCTTCCTTCCTTTCAGCCTCTGCTGGCAAGCTGCTATTTCTCAAAGCCTTCCCCTCAGACCTGCAGTTTCTTCTTCCCCTTCTTAGACCAGTGTCCCCCCCTTTTAGGAGCCATTTGGAAAAGGGTAAAATGCTTCCTTCCAAAGCGTGAGTGCTAGACACAGAGGAACCTGGACTTCTGGCATTTTCTCAGGGGCAAAGGGCCAACCAGTGATGGAAACCTTGCTGGTGACCTCAGTTTGCTTTAACAAAGAAACCCAAACCTTCTAGAAGAAAGGATCACCCTTGGAATGAAATAGTTTGTGCGAGACTTAGCCATTTCACCTCTCTGGCTCCCATCTTCCGAGGTGGGTTCTTTCCTTCCCGCTTTGGAAGGAGGATTTTGACTCCTCTGCGGTGTACAGGATAAAGTCTCGCTCTGCTGTACTAAATTATTGTTCAAAGTCTACTGGCAGGAGAACTCCTCTGCCATAAACTTTAACAATTGGTCAAGGAGTGGAGAAAAGTTTCCTCGCCCTTCAACATGCCTCTTCCCATTTGTGCCTTCGAGTCATGGCAGGCAGGTAGTAGTGACGATTGTCATAACACTCTTTTGTTTTTGATTGCCATAACACTCTTATTGGAAGTACCAATACTCATTGAAGTAACCAAAAGGAGGTAGAAATCTCAGGGTTTCCATTTCAATTCCTTTAAACAATGAAGAAGATGGAACAATGAAGAAGATGGCACCAGGGTTCGATTCCAAACTGCGACCACACACAGAGAGCCTGAGCTTCACTAAGAGAATGACAAGGTCTTTACTCTAAAATGGAGGGAGATAAAGAACCTGCCCTTTAGATTCGAAGATGGGAGAGGCAGCCCAGCTCTGCCAGCACCCAGAGGGGATCCAAAAGGGTGCAAGTGAGGCCCACACACAAGTCAAACAGCAAAACACTTTTGCAGGAGAGTTGAAACAAACAAGAAAAAAAAGTTTTATTTTGAAAATACAGTCTTGAAAGAGAAAATTGGCTTCCATTTTCCATATCTAGGTGCATCCAACAAGATACAAAAACAAACAAAACAACCAAAGACCCATGACATTCTGTCCACGGCTCTAAAATGAGCTGTGAATATCTACAAGAAACTAGCGTATGCTCGTGGTGAAGGGACAGAGTGTGACTCTACAGTTTCAGTCCTTGAGAAGACAACTTTATCCGCCCCCACCCGCCGCCCCCCACAACTGCAGCTGAGGCGGCTGCAGCTGTGGAAGAGCTGGGGTCTGTGAGGGAGGCTGGGGTGGGGGACCCCCAGGGCGGGGCGGTGACAAGGGAGGGAGCAGCGGGGCCCGAGGGGGCCAGATCCCGGGCTTCTCTAGAAGTCGTGCCGTGGGGTGTGAGTCAGGCTGTGCCGCCGCAGGTCACAGTTTCGCCTGAACACTTTGCCGCACTGCTCACAGCTGTAGGGCTTGATGTCTGTATGGGTGAGAAGGTGAGTTTTCAGATTACTTCTCTGATTAAAGGTTCTTCCACATGTGGGACATTTGTGTGGAGATTCCTGTTCAGATGTGAAGCAAGGCAAAGGATTAATCCTTCACACCCCCACGGCACCCTTTCTCAATAGCTTTCTGACTGATTTCTATCTCAAGCACCTCACAGCCTGCAACACCGCCAAAAGGGAGGGGGGGTTGGGGACACACAGCACTTGCAGGAACCCGTGAGGGCCCCTAACCCAGGAGATGGGCCAACCCGACTGTTAAGTGCCAGGGCCCCGGAGGTGGGCTCAGGACTCTCCCGGCTCTGGACTTTTCAACACCATGTCAGAGGCAGGAAAAGGGGGAGGAAACGCTCTAATCCTCTATTAAGGAGTAAGGCTCCTCTTTGCTGGAAAATTAAACTATTCCTCAGTGTTCTGAAAACTACAAATTACGAGGCCACTGGGAGAGCGCACGGATGGGATTTCACCACGGCCCCCATTATCCAAATTACCTTGATTTCCTCCCAAACACCCGAGCTTTTAAAGGCAGGGCAGATTGGGTGAAAAAAAAAAGTAATAATTCTAAAATTAGATTTTCAGCTAGAGGGGCTTATTATTTATTTTTTTAAAAAGAATACCTATAAAATGTTCATGTTCGGTAAGATTCATTTTAAGGACAGAAAGGGTGGCGGAGAGCAGCCTTCCCCACCTAGGAACGGAACTTAAATAGAGCCCCTTAGAGCAGACGACCTGCCTTTTAACACTTTCAAGAGGGAAAACAAAACCAAAAAAACCAAAACGGAACCAGCCACTGCGTTCAAACAAGAAAACAAACTTACCTGCATGTGTAAAGTTTTGTGAACTGCTAGAGTTCTAGACTGACAAAATCCTTTCCCACACTCCTGACATTTGAAGGGTTTTTCTTTAGAATGGATATACCTGAAAATCAATATAAGGTTTCATTGAAGCGGCTTTGGCACGCGCTGGGGAGGGCGGTCTTTGAACACTAATTCAGCACAAAGTGGTGGCCAGACCAAGGAAACTGGATTCCCGTTAATTAGGTTTTCAGGATCCCCCCAGCGGGGCTGTTCTGTTGATGGTTAACCCTCGCGAACCGGCCCCAAGACATCCCTGGGCCGCTTATCTCCACTTGGCCGCCCTCGCCAGCGGATTCCCAGCTCTGGGCTTGCCCAAGGAGCCCTTCTGAGCCTCGGAGGGTTTTCTTTGGGATTTTGGCTGGCCACAGCATGTTTCGTCAGGCTAGGCCCACTTTAGCTGGACTCCTTTTATAGTGAGTCTCTTACCAGCCTCAGAGGATCGGTCCCTAACCTAATCTCCACCTGGCCGAGGAGCAGCTAGAAATTCCCCAGAGAACGTGAGCTTCACCCCCTCTGTCCCTGTGCTCCACCCCCTGCCCTGAGTCTGGATTGGATGAAAACCCTCCCTTTAGGACGTTTCTTCACTTGCCATTCTGAGTGCAACCTTTAAAGTCAGGGCTGGGAGGTGGCTGATGTTTTACAATTCTGCCCATCTCCAGAACCCCCGCAGATACTTTTTAAAGAAAGAGGCCTTGACAGCTGGGAGGGGAGGCTGGGAGGGAGGGAGGGAGGGTAGAGTTGAGGGAGTGAGCCCAGAGACGGTGGTTCGAGGGAAGGTCTAGCAGCCATTCCCACACACTCCCTTAAAGGGAAGCTCGTCCCTGCTCCTCCCCACCACCACCACCATTTGCTCCGTTGCTCCCCCAACTGTGGACAGGACCTGGGATCAAGGCCAACCCACCTGACTGGAATCCCTTAAGGGTGCTGGAAAGTTCCCTCTGCCAGCAGGTCTAATAGACCACGGCAGGCGGAGGCAGAGAAAAGGGGCTGGCTGGTGGGGTTTGGGTTTTCTTGTTCCTGGGTGGGGTGAGGGAGCTGTTCTGGGGAGGAGCTTTGGAGAAACTCAGAGGGGGCCTGGCCATCCTGTCAAACAACAGGGATGGGACTGGGACTTCCTGGGCCTGGGCTGCCCCCTGCCCCCCACACCTGCAGAGCTGTGCTCACCTGTGATCCCGCAGATGGTCCTGCCTCCGGAAGGCCTTGTGGCAGATGTCACAGGTGTAAGGCCTCTCGTCCGTGTGGGTCCTCTCGTGGATGAGCAAGTTGTAGGATTTGGTAAAGTGTCTGCCGCAGAACTTGCAGATAAACTCTTTTTTCGTTTTGGAGGGCAACCGCCCCCTCGAGGGCTTTCTGTCCGGAGTCAATTTACTGAGGCCCGAGATGGGGCCCCCCAGCCCCGGGCTCAGCTTGGTCAGGTCTCCCATCTTAGGGGGGTCCTCCTGCGTGGCGGCCACGGCCAGGTTGGCAAAGTCAAACCGCGGCCGGTCCTTGTGCAGCGCCGGGAGGACGTGGGCGATGGCCCCCTGCTTGGGGTGCAAGAGGTGGGTGGTGAAGGGCAGGGCCGGGAAGGGGAAGCGCGCGTCCACCAGGCCCTGCGCCGCGGCCATCTCGGTGATGGTGGAGCGGGTGATCTCGTGCATGTTGGGGTACCCCAGTGTCCAGTGGTTCATGTGCATGGTCTGCACGGCGCTGAGTCCGTACAGGCCCTGCAGGTGGTCCACGGCGGCGGGGAAGGTGTTCACGGCCTGCAGGAACGAGTAGTTGGTGAGCTGCAAGGACGGGTGCAGCGGGACGGGCGCGGGCAGGGCCTTGCTCCCCATGGTCGCGGCTGCTGGGGGGCCGAGGGGGCTGCCCCTGTCTTCCAGGTCTCAGAGGCGGGTCTCGGACGTGGGGCACCGGTGCAGAGACGACAGCCCGCGGAGAAAACCCTGAAGAAACGATCAAGGGGGGAACGAGAGGGAAGGTCAGGCTGCTGGGGAGGCCCGTGGGCGCTCCCGCCCCCGGGAGCCCACCCAAAGGGGAGCCAAGAGTCCGTCCGAGCTCGGCCTCTCGGAGCCAGGGCCGCGAGGACCCCTCCGGGCGCGCCCCCCGGGAAATTGGGGTATCCGGCACGCACGGAGCAGAGGACCCGTGTGCCGGGGAGAGAGCCTAGCGCGGAAGAGGGGTTTGGGTCGAGGTCACCCCGAGGGCAGCCGCCCACACCCCCCAGCCGCTCGGGCGACCAGCGCTCAACCGCGACGGCCCGCGACGCCAACGCCCGCAGGCCGGGGTCTAGTGTCCATCCCTGCCGCGCGCCCGAACTCGGGGGGGGACGGCGGGTGGGCTGCGGGGGGTCGGCGCGCGGCCTCCGGGGCTCCAGGGTCCGGCCGAGCCGTGCGGGGGCGCGCGCCTCCTAAGTCCCGCGTCGGGGACGCTCGGTGCGGCTCGTCGCGCCCCGCGCTCTGACCTCGGGGCCTGGCCCTGGCCGCGTCCGGCCTCCGTGCCATTTATCAGCGCAGGGAGGAAAAGTGACACCTCGGGGGCCGGTTCGGGCCGGGGAGCGCCCCCTCCTCCTCTCCGGGGGGCCGTCCCGTCCCCCCCCAGCCAGATCCCTTCCAGATGGTTGGGGCGCGTCGCTCGAGCCCCTGATCGCAGACGGAGCGGCTTCCCCGCCTGGCGCGAGACACTGGCCTCCACCTGGCCGAGGGGAACGGGCCGCGCCGGCCGCTGGACCGCGGGGTCGGAGGAAGCGAGTCGGGTCCGCCTGCTGCGCGACCGGGGCCTCGACCCACTCGCGCGCAGGGTGAGCCGCCTTCTCCCACCGCCAGCCCCCCACTTTCCCGCTAATTCCCGCCACTTCGGCGGGCCCGGGCCTGGCCTCCGACGGCGGCCCCCCAGGTGCCCTGCGCCAAGCTCTGTTCGCTTTCCAGCACGCTCCGGCCGGTCTTTTAATCCTGCACGAGGGTGGGCGCGTGGGTCCTGACTTCCCTCTCCACCCAACGCCGCGCGGCGAGTCTCTTCTTTGGAAGCGTGACCGGGGGCGCGCTCGGAGTGGGCCACGTTTGGTGGCCCAGAGCTCCGACCAGGCCGAGTCTGCTTTTCACCCAGGCCCACACCTATGCTCCCTCCGTGGTCGGGAAGGCCCGTAGACAAGGATTTATTAATGAACCAATTCTGCCCCTGGTATGCGGTCTGGGAGTTGAGGCCCCGAGTTAATGAGACTTGGGTAACTGTCAGAGGGTTCAAACCATTCAACCAAAACTGTAAACCTTCATTAGCAATCAACTTTCCCACCACAAATCAAGAGGCATGTTGGTTCCGGGGCAACCGCTGAAGCCCTGGATAGACTGGGAAAGAAAAAGAGAAAGAAAAAAAAAAGAACTGAAACAAATATTTCTGATCATTTTCTCTCCTAAAAAAAAATGACATGACCCTCTTTATTTCCTGTTTGCTGCATAATGAAGGTGTTAAAAATTTTTTTTTGCAGAGACTCAAAATATTTGTCTTTTCTCTTGGTGTTAAAAAAAGCTACCTTCCCCCATAGAGAGGAAACCAAAATGATCATTTGGGTGCATTCCCGGACTGCAGTTCTTAGAAATAAATCCAGGAGGCAAAGCACAACACCCACCATGTTCTCTGTGTATATACGTATGCATGTGTGTGTGGCTGTGATGCGAAGGTATCCCAAGACCTGTGATTTCGATTCCAAATGCACGGAGTGACTTCTGCCATGACCGGTGTCACCTTCTTTATGGGTGGGCAGGCAACTGAGTGCCACCTTCTGCCTCCTTGTCTCCCAATGGTTTAAAACACCAAACCGTGACCACTCTTGTATCATTCTGTGTCATAGTGTCACACACAAGCTGTTTCATGATCCCTGCTTGTTTTAAGTTATGGGACCGAGAAAGGGCAAAGCCATTTACTGATGACTTCTGAAACTGTCTGACAGGCGGAACAACCCAGAATTCCACCCAACACTTTTGCTGTAAAATAATGAGGGAGTTGATATTTCCACTATCTGGCTGACTTGCTGGAAATATATGTCAAGAGATATTTTAAGTCACTGAAGAGATCTAAAGTACTTTCGTTTTGTCTAGAGCCAAGCCTGTGTTTTCAGAGCGTCTCGGGCGCTGTCAACTCTCCCCCATCCTGTTTGGGAGGGGACCATTGGATTACCTTGCCGTTTGCAAGGAAAAGGAACTTAAAGCAATGAAAAGGCATTAATATTTCGATGGAGCTGAACCTAGTTTTCTTTCAACAGTGTTCTTCACGGGAGTTTCCAGGCATGCACAGAAGTTTTGTAAAAATTTAGCAGCGCAGGCTGTCAAAAAGATGTGTACATAACTAATTTCAGTTCAGGGCACTTTCAAAACACTGGAGAAAAAAGGTACACAGTAACTTGATAAGAAACCTCAGCCTTTAGTAATGGTGTTATTCCACCGAATTATCTAAAAATAATATACACATAGGGGTCATCTGGTGAGACCTGTCTCTGCAAGAAATGCCTTAGATTCGCAGCCTCACCGAAAGCCTGTCCCAGCAACAATCGTCTTGGGCATACATCACGGAGCTGTAGTCCCGGAGGGTCTAGGAAGAGCCTTCATTTAAAAAAATCTTAACTTTAAACCGGCCAGGTAAACCGAGAAAAACGGCCGCGAAGTTCCTGTCCCTTCGAAGCGCCTCGGTCTTCCGCGGGACCTAATTAAATTAAGACGCTGCCCGCATAATCTGGGCTCAATTTCTGCTCCCTCGCTCCCCTGCCCCAGTTGTTTTCTCTTTGGGCTCCCGACTGCAGTTTGTTTAGCAGAGAAAGGAGCTGTCTGCGCCGCGGCCGCGCTCCGGGAAACGCCAGCGCTCTTTTGTTCTCTACCAAGAACAGGTAGGCGATCGAGCCGCTGCACAAACACCTTTCTTTTCTTCTCCCACTTCTCACCCTGTGCAACGCCTTTCCCTGTGGCCCGAGCTCAGACGCCCCTTCAAAGTGTGTGTGTGTGCGTGTGTGTGTGTGTGTGTTGGGGAACGGGCTTGTAGGACGGAACTTGGCCTTCTATTTATTCCCTTTCCTCCAGAACAGAGAGGATTGGGAGGGGGGAAAAATTTTTTTTTTCGAAGGCCCGCACAGGTTCGAAGACGACCCATTCCTCTCCTGGAAACGCGCAGGCGAGGCGGGCGCTGGGTGGCCCGGGCCGGGCCCGCGCTGCCGGGGCCGCGGTAGCCCCGGGACCGGGACTCCGAGAGACGCGGGGGCTCGGTCGGAAGCACGCAGCGGGTGCGGACTTCCAGCTCTGGCCACCTTCAACCGCTCGGAGGAGCCCGGCCGGGCGCGCTTCGAGGCAATATCGCAAAAACAAAACTAAAAGCAGAGCCGCAGAGCGTCGGTCGGCGCGGAGTGGAGCGCTGGAGCGGGCCGAGCGCGAACCACACAAAGCCCGGGGAGCACATCCCCCAGGCAGCAGCTCTCCGCGGTTCCGGGGCTCGTCGAACGCGGGGGGCCCGCGAAGCGCCGCCCGGACCCCCGGCGCCCCTCTCCTCGGCGTGCCTGCAGCCCCTTCCCGGCCCCGACACTCACCTCGCGCTGAGAGCTCGGCCCGCGCGGCTCACAGCCGCTCCGGGGACCCGGGCGCGCGGCTGGGAAAGGTCACGGGGACCCCGCCGGGCAAACTTGGGGTTCCGCGCGGAGTCCCGGGAGCCGCGGACATGATCCGAAGGCGGGCGGAGAGCCGCAGCCGTGAGAGCGGGATCCCCGATGCCTCGGTCCGAGCGGCGCGGACGTGGAAGTTCGGACAAACCCCGGGCGCCGGGCGCTCAGCGCGCGCCGGGACCCCCGCGCCCCCGGGAGTCTCCCGCCGCCGCCCACTCCGGGTGAGGTCGGAGGCTGCAGCCTCGCAGGGCCATCACCCTCCGGCCGCGAGCGGAGCGCTGCGCTCGGTCCCCGCCGCGTCCCTTCCCTAGGCTGCTCGCCGCCCCGGGTCCCGGGCTTTAGTAGCGGCCCCGCCTTCCCTCCGGGCGGGCGTCCCGCCACAGCGCGGGGCCCAGTGCGCCCTGGCTCCGCCTCCGCGCCCGGCGCCCGCTAATGGTCCACTCTGTTTACTTGTGTTTGGATAGCAACTGAGTCTTAAAGGCACAGGTTTGCTCGCGGTTTCTCGGGTCCCGAGACACAGCCGAGGCGAAGTTCGTTCGGTCGCACACACGGGCACACAGGCACACATAGGCAAGCGCGCGCGCGCGCGCACACGCACACACACGTACTTCGCCCACTCTCCTCCCTTCTCTTTGCCACTTTTTCTTTTACTGTCAAGAAACCCAGCCACTGGGTTTCAGACTCCCGACGCCCCGCAGACGAGCACCCAAGGGCATTCTGTGGTCTAACTCAGAGTGTTCAACTCAATTCAATTCCCACTTCTTAAGACACGGAACTGAATCATCTTTTCGGATGAAGACAAGCCTTACTGGGGCCGAGGATGTAGTTCAGTGGTAAGGGTGCACACTTTGTAGGGATGGAGGCCCGGGCCCTGGGTGCCGGTCAGATTACTCGGTGAAAACAAACCAACACCATCCAGACTGTACCCGCCAATATCTAAAGTCCTTTCCGCAACAGAAAAATACAGTTTTGTGCATACTTTTGGTCAATTGTGACCAAAAGTGTCATCTGCTTTCACCAGCTGTTTTCAAAACGAAGTTTGTTTACAGAGGTGACAATTGACTAATTTCATAATTACCGTAAAGACACATGTGGAGTGTCCCCGGAGTAATTTCTTCCAATATTTAAGCTGTAATCAACCCGTGTACATTTCATAAGCAGTTAACCGGATTGGTGGAAGGCTTGGCCATCTGCAACCCATTGGCAAACAGTAAA